AAACTAATAAATAGGCAAAAGGATGTCAGATGTTGATGAGCACCAGAAGGGAAATAAAACAGGGTTATGTAATAAATATGTGTGTGGGATGGATATGTTGCAGTTTCATCAGAAGAGCCTTCACTGAGGAGGGCACATCTGAGGTGAGACCTGAGTAACACAAAGGCAGGGGGAAAGCAAGCGACAAATGCAAACTCTAAGGCAAGAATAAGGTTGGGTGTTTGTGGGCTACAGAGAAGGCCAGGAGGCCAAACTGAAGTGAGTGACAGGGAGGACGTAGGAGAAGAGCGCAGAGAGGCGAAAGTCATGATTAGAAGCCAAGTGAAACAGGAGGTCACAGGAAGGTTATAAACCATGGCATGGCATGATTTGATTTACATTTTAAAATAATCCCGTGGGCTCTTGTGAGAATAGAGGAGCAAAGGTGGAAGCAGAGAGATGAGTGAGGAGGCTGTTGTCATAGTCCAGGCAAGAGAAGATGGTGGCTTTGAGGAACTTGATAAGCACTGAGAGTAGAAAGAAGGGAAGGCTGACTGGTTTTGTTGTTGCTTGATTGTGAGAGGTAAAGGAAAGAACAGGATCAAGAATGACCCCTGAAATTTTGTCTAGAGTAGCTGGGTGATGCTGATTACTGAGATGGGAAGCACTAGTAGAGGAGAACATTTTGGAAGGGGGATTTGGAGTAGGAGTCAAGAGTTCTGTTTGGGACATGTTAAGTTTGGGATGCCTATTAACCTCCAAACCAAAACCCAAATCACTGCTGGCAAATTGGATCTGACTCATAGCAGCCTCTCCTTGGGTCTCTGAGGAGGTATCTCTATGGAAGTAGATTGGCCAGTCTGCCTTCTGAGGAGTGGCTGGTGGGTTTGAACTGCCAGCCTTCTGGTTAGCAGTCAAATGCCTTAGGCACTACACCACCAGAGCTCCTTATTAATCATCATCATCAACAACAACAACAAAACCAAACTCACTGCTGTTGAGTAGAATCCAACTGATAGCGACCGCTCCTTGAGTTTCTGAGGTGGTATCTCTATGGAAGTAGATTGCCTAGTCTTCTTCCATATTAACCTCCAGGTGGTGATTTTGCATGATTGGGAGGTCAGGGTGAGGTGGTGGTCATTAGTTCCTGAGGAGTCAGGTCTAACTCATGGCAACCCCATGTGTGCAGAATAGGTCTTCTCTATAGGGTTTTCAAGGCTGTGACCTTTCATAAGCAGATTGCCTGGCCTGTCTTCCTAGGTACCTTTGGGTGGGTTTGAACTGCCAACCTTTCAGCTAGTAGTCGAGTGCTCAAGCATTTGCATGACCCAGGGAATTCTAGGGTGTTGTTAGGGCTGGGAAGTAAATGTGGAAGTTATGTTTAGTATCTGAAGTTATGACACTGCAAGAGATATTCTAGGGAGAGAGGCTAGATAGAGAAGCAGACTAAGGACACAAGCTGCTAGGCCACAAGATCTGGAGAGGTCACACAAAGGAGGAGGGAAATTTAACTCTGTAGTTGAGAGCACTGCAGTAGTCTAAGCTCAGTTTGTATCCATGGCAGAGTTTCTTGCAACCTCCTCACCCACAGCATTTCCTATGTTAATGATCACAGCATGTAATGCCAGCGTTCTGCCCAGAGACTCTCTGATCCCTTGTGGCTGCTTTTAGTTTGCTTTGAGTTTTGTATTCAAGAGTCTTTTGCTTCTAACACCTAGCTCCTGGGGCTCTGTTTTGGAGGACTGCCGCCAAGGTGTGAGAGTCTCTACCCACAGACATACAGTGCCTGGTTGGTTTTGACCTTCCTCAGGGGCCTTTAACTAAAGACTGAAAGGTACAGGAGTAGAAAGCCCATTCCCTTTCCTCAGACTGGACAACTCTGGAGCATAATTTACACTCTAGACCTTCCCTGTGGGACCAGGCTGAACAGCTGGCTAGCTGATCTGCAGAGCTTTGATAGCACTCTTGACCTCTCTTGGGAGCAGTTCCTTAGTAAATTGTCTGCCTTTGGGCAACTTCATTTAAGATATGAACTGCCCCCTTCTACACACCCATTTTGTATTATAAACATTGATAGTGTATAATAGATTTTGTCCATTTAAAACAGGACTGTTGTTGTTGTTGTTGTTGTTATGTACTGTCAAGTTGGACCTGACTCATAGCGACCCCTCCTTGGGTTTCTGAGGCAGTATCACTACAGAAGTAGATTGCCCCATCTTCCTTCCAAGGAGTGGCTGGTGGGTTTGAACCATCAGCCTTCTGGTTAGCAGTCAAGTACCTTAGGCACTATGCTACCAGAGCTCCCAAAACAGGACTAGATAGTTTAAAAACATTCCCAACTTCTCACAAAAGTTACTGTTTTTTTTTGTTTTGTTTTGTCAGAATAGTCTCAAATTTAACAGTCATTAAGGGGAAAAGGATTTTGATTTTTATCCTCAAGACAAATGTCTCTTTCTACCTATTCTGGAGAAATTATTTACTGTTTAATTAAATGAAACATTTCCAAGATGTTATCTATTTTCACTCTTCCAGCTCACAGAATATAGGCTAAGCTCGAACTGATAAAATTGTTAGATGATTATTTCTTGTTCACGCAACCAGTCAATAAAATTACAGAGATTAAGCAAGAGACTAAGACAAGGTGTTTATCAGAGTTTGACTGTGGTAAATGTGATCTTCTAGCTGAGAACTTTGCCACATTATGTGCTAATCATTGTGGTTTTCATTTCCAAAACAGTTTGCAACTGTGATTTGAGCAGGAATTTGAAGCCAACAGACTAGAATATCTACGTGGAATTTTTCTTCTAACCTGGAGGGACAAATAAAATTATATTCTGTTTATTTTTACTGGTTTCCTATTATTTTAGAACTTTTGGGTGTATTTTAGTATCTCTATAATTAAACACTTGGGAGCTCTGGTAGCATAGTGCCTAAGGCACTTGACTGCTAACTAGGAGGCTGGCGGTTCAAACCTACCATCCACTCCCCGGAAGGAAGGTTGGGCAATCTACTTCCGTAGTGATACTGCCTCAGAAACCTAAGGAGGGGTCGCTATGAGTCGGGCCGACTTGACGGCACCTAACAACAACAACAACAACAACATAAATAAACACTTAGGCCTTTTGCTTTGAAACAACAGTTCACAGGTCCTCCATTTTTCCTTCCTCCCTCCACGCTTCCCCTCTCTCCCTTCCCTCTTCCTTTCCTTCCATCCTGTTTCCTTTATAGACTAAAACCAAAACCAAACTAACTGCCATCGTGTTGTTTCTGACTCATAGTGACCCCCATTGGAAGCAGATGCTAAATCAGATCTCTATTCAAATTCCTCACAAAACATGTTTTAAAGTTCATTAAGTGGGTTTTTCTTTGTTTGTGGTAGAATCACACACCTGTGTTTGATTGCCTCTTTTCCCTTTAGCAATTTTTAGTCTGAGCTGTTGGGAGTAGTAAAACCAAAACTAAACTCATTGCCATTGATTCCAACTCAGAGGGACCCCCATAGAGTTTCCAAGGCTGTAAATCTTTACAGTAGATTGCCAAATCTTACTCCTGGGGAGCAGCTGGTGGGTTTGACCTACCAACATTCTGGTTAGCAGCCAAATGCCTTACCTACTATGCTGCCAGAATGCCCACTGGACATAGTAAACATTCAGTAAATATTTGTTGAATAAATGAATGCATGGTGTTATCCCCCCAGTGCAATACTAAAATATTACCTGTGATCTGTCCTTGGTCCCCAACTCTTAATTACAGCTCAACTATTATCACAAATGTATTAGACCATCATTTTTTAAATCCTTAAATAAATTGTCTTTGTGGATTTTACCTTTCTAAATTCTGATGTAGTGAAACACCTAATGGCACATTCCTTTTGCCTCTGAATACCTCTGAAACATTTGGATTTTGACCATAGATTTCACAATACATGGAGGCATGTAATTATAAGACAGTAGTGCATGCTTTTTCATGCCTGAACAAAATCCTGAAGTTACACTGTGGCATTGAAGCCTGGTTGGAAACTTTTACATCCAATCAGATTATACCAGATTAATTTTATATTTGCTGTGTAATTGAAAGTATGAGTACCTTCAGTACTTTCTATTTGTTTGTATTCTGGAAGCTAAAATAGTTGAATCAAATATCAGTGGGGTGGGGGGAGAGCAAACAAATAAATTGTTCTCTGTCCATTGGTGAGGGTAGGAAATAGTATTAAAATTTGTCCTAGGAAAAGTTCCTTGATGACACTACAAAGCTTAATGCAGAAGATTGAAATGCCTGTTGCTTGTATTCCTAGCTGGACCAGTCTCGCTTCCAGGTGGATTGGGTGAGCTGAGGGGTTGTGTAAGATTGACTCAGTCTGCCAGAAGAATTTAGGACTAGAGATGACCCATATGGGGATTCAAATGGCAGTACTTAAGCTTAAGGAATTCTGGAAATCCAGTGACATTTTGTGTGTTACCCTCACCCATAATAAGCAAAGTAATGCTTATTTGTGAGTGAGTGGGGCTTTCAGGGGTGGTGACTCATGGTAAGGGAGGTATCTCTAGAATACAGGATGCTTATTGGAAAAGATGAGATGACATAAACCCATCAACTAGGCTTCAGGTATTTTTTATAGATATTGTTTGGAAGTCCAAAGTGGGGACACTTGTTCTGATATGCACAACAGTACTTATTGGGACAGTAGCTCAGAATATTAGAAGTCAATAGCTCAGAATATTAGAAGTCAGTAGTAGCTCAGAATATTAGAAGTTAATGCTGACCCATCAACTATAGGCTCATAGGTTACTGTAATGATAAATTATTCCTTTTGAATGATCAGTAGTAAGTGGTGTTCATATTAATTTTTTTGTTAAGGGTTATGTTGGAAATTAATGTTAGTCTTTGCATATTTAAGTAAATAATGAATTTTACTTGTATTAATTGAGAATATTTTAGATCACACAAGCCAACTAAAGCTTTTCCCTCTGGTTTATGTTGAAAGGAATGCAATGTTAATTCTGGGGCGTTGATGTTTTACAATGCCTGATCAAGACAAAAAGGTGAAGACCACAGAAAAGTCAGCTGAAAAAAACCAGCAAGGAATCACTACCAGGTAACCACATATTGAGTCTATGCTAATTATTAACTCACACAATGTCCACCAACCAGATTTAATGGCTTTCTGAGAAAAAGAGTGAACTGTTACTCTGGGATACAATATTTACTGAAGCATTTGATCGTTTCTAGACTTCTAAAGGAAATGTTTAGTGTATATATGTTTCAGTCTATAAAAGCAGGTCTTCAAATGGCAGTGCGGTTAGTGAGTAACATGACCTTGTTTATCAGAGCTGTCTGTTGCTGATAATTCTGTTATTCTTTCTCCTAGGGATTATTCAGATCTTAAAAGACTTCGGTGCCTTTTGAACGTTCAGTCAAGCAAACAACAGGTAGTGTTTTCAAAGAATGTGCATGCTTTAATAAAAAAGAAATCAGGTTATTCCCGAAAGAATCCTTTAAACATCTTTTTGAACAATGTCTCTATTTTCTTTGTTCTTTCATATCTTTTCTCTTTCTTCATCTGGCTGTTTCTTTCATACCTGGTTCAGGCTCTGCCAAGACTTGGCATCTAGTGCCTTTTCATTCTCCTCTCATGCCGGGTCCTTGCTTTATCCTATGTGCATTGTCATGTGTCCTAATTACCAAAGCTTTTAGTTTCCAGTATGGAAATAGTGTACTCTTCTTTTGAATTCCTGTTTGACTCTCCAGAGCTTTAGGGAAATTGATTTTTCCAAAATATTGTTTATCACCTTTCTGTCCTTTTCCTCTCAGCCTCCCCCCGCCCACCTCTTCTGCCCCCTTGCTACAGTGCAAGGAATTGTAGTTGTGGAAATCTTGTGACAGTTTGTGTTACCTTCAACCATAATAATGCTTATTTGTGAGTGGGTGGGGCTTTCTGGTCACATTCATAACAGAGAAGAAGAGACTGATAGCAGAAAAGATATTTTCTTTTGGGGTATGTTGAAAATTGTATCTCACCAAAAAGAAGGGGAAAGGAATGAGTTTGGGCTATCTTTACAATGTTGTTGTTATGTGCCGTCGAGTCAAACCCGACTCATAGCGACCCCTCCTTGGGTTTCCGAGGCAGTAGTAGATTGCCCCATCTTCCTTCCAAGGAGTGGCTGGTGGGTTTGAACCGCCAGCCTTCTGGTTAACAGTCAAGTGCCTTAGCCACTATACTACCAGAGCTTATTAGGGAAGGAATGGTGCTTCTGTTTCAGTTTATCTCTAATTTTTTCTTTTTGTTTTTGCTTCTATGTCTTTGGAGATTCATGAGATTAGAGGCCATCCATGGAGGTTTGGGGAATAGCACAACAATGCTAATAATAATGATAACATCACACACTTGCATAGCATGGCCGACAAGTAATTGGCAAGGTTAGAACTTGAACCCAGGTGATCTGCCTCCAGAGTCTACCATGCTATTCATTTCATGGTTACATTTGAGTGCTCATGTGGTTGGTAATCTAGCCTTGATGGCTTTGTTTATAACAAACAAACTTACCAGAGAACTATAGAATTTTTAATTGATTTAGTTATAATGGGGAATGACTTTCTAATGATTTGATGGCATATAAAGCCCAAATAATAATAGTTAACTTTTAAGGAATGCTTACTATATATCTGACACTTTACCTTCATTTCCCTGTATAATAATTAGAGCCCTCACTTTTACAGATGAAGAAACTGAGGCATGGAGAGGTTAAATGACTTTCCCAAGAGTATACAGGAGCTCTGGTAGCATAGTGCCTAAGGCACTTGACTGCTAACCAGAAGTCTGGCGGTTCAAACCCACCAGCCAACTCCTCAGAAGGAAGATGGGGCAATCTACTTCTGTAGTGATGCTGCCTCGGAAACCCAAGGAGGGGTCATGAGTTGGGTCTGACTTGACGGCACACAACAACAACAACAGTGGTGGAGTACATGTTGGAACCCAGCCACCATGCCTTTGCATTATATGACTCTAACCACTTAGATATTGTGGTGCAGTGAATTATATAAGGAGCTCTAGCAGTGTAGTGGTTAAGGCATTTGGCTGCTAAACAAAAGGTCAGTGGTTTGAGCCTACCAGTTGTTCCCTGGAAGAAAAATGGGGCAATGTGCTTTTGTAAAGATTTACAAACTTGGAACCCCAAAGGGGATTGCTATGAGTCAGAATTAACTAGGTGGCAGTGATGTTCTTTTTTCAGTTTTCAATTACTTAATAAAGCCTTTCTAGCCATAGTTTTTGTGACTCCCATCACATGACTGGGTGGGACATGCAAATGAGGTGCTTGTGACCCACATAAAAATGAATATCTTGCTAATAATGTAAACAGGGTGCATGACATCCTTGTGAGGGGTGGGACCATATACATAATGTGTATAGAACCCAAGTGAGGGGATTGGTCAGTTTTGCTATCATTCTAGGCTTCAAGAGAGCCAATCCCAGATCATAGGGGGTGGGAAGTCCTGACTGCCACCAAGAAGAGGAGACAGGAGTGGAATGGGTGTTTTGGCCCTAGGGTCCCTGAACTGGGAACCTCCTAGGCCCAGGAAACAAAGTGGTAACACTGGAGATGGTGTGTTACAGAGATGGTGAGAAGTGGTGGCCGGAGAGGCACAGAACCAGGAGACTGGCAGGAGATATCACAGTGGCCTTCCCAGCCTGTGGAACAAGAGAGCTGAGTACCTTTGAGCAGGAGGTTTGCTGGCAGAGTAGGATGCCTCTGGGTACTTGGTAGAGCTAGGTTTACCGATCCACAGGGTGAGGGAGCTGAGCTCCTTTGAGCCAAGGCTTATTGGCAGAGTGAAGTGCCTTGCCTCCAGGCATTTATTGGCAGAGCTAAAGAGGTTTCTAACACTTGCCCAAGCAGGGCAGAGGCCTGGCTGGCCCAGGAGCCTTGAGGGTCTGAAGGCCAAAGAAAGGCCTGCCTACAGGGTTGGCTGACAAGAAGCTGTCCTAAGTCATTTCTGATCCTGAATTATAACCTGTTATTCCCTAATAAACCCCATAGTCAGAATATTTTCTTTGAGTTTCATGTGGCTACTGCAGCAAATTATTGAATCCAGCAAAGAAGTAGTTCCATGGGCAGAACGGCTGGTGTCAGAATTGGTAAAAAGGTTGGAGAAAGGATGTATGTCTAAGCTCTGCCTCATAGAACTCAGCCTTGGGAAGATGCTAATGGTGATTCTCTCATCCTTTTGTGAAGTGAGATGCTTCCATTAGGCCATATTCAACAGATATCTTTTAAATGACTTCATAAATTAAATTACAGTTCAGAAAGTAGTTAGTTGAGTGTTGATTCAGAGTAAACCTGGGCCTTAAAATATCTTTTCTCCTGTCAGTCCCTTCTGTTAATATTATCACTTCCTGTATTGCAGCATTTGTTATATCTACATACTGCTGAAATGACATCTAATGCAAAACTCTGACCCTGCCAGCTCCTTGCTCACAAACCTTCACAAATTACTGCCTCAAATCAAGTCCATTGTTTCCTAGTAAAGCAAGCAGGATACCACAACATAACTGTTTAGTTATAGTTTCCATTCTTTCCCACTATTTTCTTCTTTTATAAGACCTTTCACTTTTTGCTTTTACTATTCTCCAGGTCTATGATCTTTCCTCAACATTTCTGTTCTGTAAAGTAGCGCTTATTTCAAGACCCAAATCTAATGGCACTGCCTCTACAAAAAAAAAAAAGAATAAGCCTTCATTCATTTTCCAGTCCAGAAGTGACTTCTCCCTTCTGTAGTTCTGAAAGCACCTTTTTTCACTATTGTAGCATTATTTTCTCCCTTGCTTTGAAAACATTTTGTACATGTCTTATTTCCTGACAAAATTATAAATATCCCAGTGCTTGCGAATTTGACTTTTGCCCCTGGTTCATAGTATCTTCTGCTTGGTAAATTCTTGCCAAATTGAATTGTGACTTGGGATTGGGTTATCCCATAAGTATGTAATTCCCTGTCCAGAGGAAAAGAAACATCAGTGCTCCCCCCCACACACATATACCCACTCTAATTTTCCAACATGGAAGCCCGTGCTGAGATCTATTGTGTGTTCTGTTGCAACACCATTTCCTTATTAACACCTGGCAGGCTTAATTAAAATTCATTTATTTGTTTTCCCCCATTAAACTAATTTTACAATTGGTTTTCTGTCAAGTTCATGTGACACCAATATATCTTTTAGGAAACTATTTCACACATACAAAAATAAATATTTGGAATATTTGAACTATTCAGAATGTAAATGGTATAGTTTTTTAATATATAAAAAAAAACTGAAACAGTTGCCCTTGATTATATGAAGGTCCTGAGATTCACAGAAGTCATGCCTAACTCTGTTTATAAAATTTTCATATATAATTGTAATTTTGAAACAATAAATACTATTCTCCTTTCATGGGAGCGCCAGTGGCGTAGTGCCTAAGGCATTTGACTGCTAACTAGAAGGCTGGCAGTTCAAACCCACCAGCCACTTCTCAGAAGGAAGATTGGACAATCTACTTTTGTAGAGATACCACTTCAGAGACCCAGGAAGGGGTGGCTATGAGTCAGAAACGACTCAACAGCAGTGAGTTTAGCTTTGGTGTTTGGTATTCTCCTTTGTGTAAAACAATGTGGAGACTTTTATAGGAGGACAAAAATATTAGAGAAAATAAATCAGAAATATACTTATTTCTACCTTGGTTCTTCCAGAAGGAAGTTCAGGAGGCATAGGAGTCTCTGGGGGTACAAATGGTTAAGCCCTAGACTACAAGCTGATAGGTTGGGGGTTTGAACTCACCCAGAGGGTCCTTGGAAGAAAAGCCTGGGGATCTGTTTCCATAGCCTTGAAGACTCTATGGAACAGTTATATTCTGCACACATGGCGTCACTATGAGTTGGAAATGTCTCAATGGCAACTCACAACAATCGGATATGTAGGAGTGTCCTTGGGTGGCACAAATGATTAAGCACTCTGCTGTTAACTGAAATGTGTTTTGAATTAACCCAGAGGTGCTTTGGAAAGAAAACCTGGCAGTCTGTTTCTGAAACTTCACAGCCATTGAAAACCTTATGAAGTACAGTTCTACTCTAAAATACATGGGGTTGCCATGAGTTAGAATTAACTCAATGGCAACTGGTTTGGTAATATGGGTACCTAAAACATGACAGGTTATCATAAATTAAAATTGGGACAAAGGAGAAACAAAACCAAGAATTGTGGAGCAAAGTGGAGTGAGGGGCAGGCAGAAATTCCTGTCATTTATGCAAATAGACTGCAGATTTGGCTCTGAAATTTTTAGCAGTTAGTTAGAAAAGGGAAATTTGGGATTTAGGCCCACTTATCTGAATTTCTGGTCTAACAAGACCTGGCTTGTTCTTTGCAAATGGACCATGATGACCAATTATCTGGGTGCCA